AAATAGATTGATTGTGTTCTGACGAATCTAACATCATTCTCCAAGCGCCCTTCCGGATAAATGGGTCTCTTACAGTTACTATGGATTTTCCAGCAGTATATTTTTTTATTATCCGTCATATGTGGCGTAGATATTGAACGTAATAAAGAATGCGTTTTCCTATGATGATCAATCCGTTAACTTGTTATTGTTTGCAATGATAAATGCGCATTGGAGATAATTTAATACAATATCTTTAAATAATGACAGAGAGAAAATATATATTATTAAGCATAATTTATTTTAATAACTATTGAAACCTTGATAAATTAGTTGTCTATTAAAATGGAAAAAGAAAAATATACGCGCCAACATCTTCAATCACTTTATCACATCAAACAAACCACTTCATCATCATCGCTTCATTATAATAATTTAACATAATCAACAAATTATATTAAAAATATAATATAATACATGACAGTGCAAGTTATCTATTTTTGCATATTTGCTCGTATTATATGTAGCACTACTGACTCGATCATCAGCGGCTCTTTGCATTTAAACAGTTGATGATGTGTTTCCGCAAAATTTCACTAATCATATCAAATACATATTATTATTTTTGCATTAAATATATTGTAATAGCGAATAATCAAATTTCCTCAAAGTTTTCAATGGAACTGTAATTTAAACCGTGTAATTTAATATATCATTCTCTCTCTCTTTTCTTATAGTTTTAAATAATATAATATCAAACATAATTTTATGTCATGTTGAAAGATATTATGTATTTAATTTTATGAATCAGTTCATCAGTTATATGAGTGTCGCATTTTATATATTTGACTACGGAATATTACACATGACGCAGCAAAAAAAAAAACAAAAAAGGAAAAAAAAAAACAAACCAGTTTCTTCGGGAAATATCACCAATCAATTTCACGCATATTTATAAATTATATCTTGCCGTTCTTCATCGTGCCTCGCGATCATTATCTAGTTCCTTTTATGTTTGCATAATAAGTTCACGCATATGAAAATGAATCATAAATGAATTTTGCGGCAAAATTGTTGTTTTTATACGCTACAAATTATTATTCAATCACATTATAAAATATTATTTCCGACGAGAAGATAATCAAATTTTTGATATTTACATAGAACTTGCAACAAGCTACAAAGTAGGTGAGCTTATGCAAAGGGCATTGCGTACTCATGCTGCAGTATCTCTCAAATGCATTCGTATCGTGTTGACAAAGCAAACTCCGCCCGTACAAGTTTAATAAGCTATGCCGTTCAATACACGTGTTTCCTCACGATGTATTTCCCCATGCTATTAGTCACAAGCTTAAATTTTCCGCGAATTTGAACATTGCTTGCTATAAGATCTTATATTAAATTCTACACTGAGAAAAAAAAGTTGTTAACTTGACTAAATGCGTTCAACTGATTACCATTTTTTAAATTGAAATATTTAAGTATTTAAATACGATACTTTAAATCTAACATGACATATTTGACTTAAGTACTTAAATATTTCAATTTAAAAAATGGTAATCAGTTGAACGCATTTGTTACTCAAGTTAACAACTCTTTTTTCTCAGTGTAGATGAGGCATAATCGATTCAATCAAAACAAGCGCATTAATCATAATGGACGTAAAGTATTCAGCAAACGATGCCAAACATTTATCACACCTCCTACGACACTGCTTTTCTTTTCCCCTGAAAAGCATGCGAGCAGATAAAATCGAAAATCGATTGTGTCACGGGATATCCTTCTCTTTCTGCCTTTTGATATATATTACCGTGTCAAAATATATAAAATTTATAAATCATTACATCCATTATTCACCATACTTTTGTTACTAAAGTCTATCATTATATATATGTAATAGGAACTAATACAAGTTAAATTCGAATGAAAAAGTGATGAAAAAAATACAAAGATATAAAATATCAACTAGCTCTCTATTAATATGTAATGTAAAGTAGATGATAACCTAAAAAGCAAGAATAATAACAATTAAATATATATATAAACAAAGTTTACACATATATACAAATTACATGTGATATATATCACCAATATATAAAATGTGAAATACATGATTCGATATATAACACGAAGAAATTAAATGAGACATAATCTAAGAAATTTTAAAATAATTTTAGTAAAAATACAAAAACTACATATCTTGAATAATAAGAAGAAGAATGTGAAATATAAATATTTAGCACAGATCTGAATGACATGATTTATGAAAAAATTAGAAAAAGAAAAAATAACAAAACCTAAACTAATTGTAAATCATGCAGATGATTTCAGGTATTTTTATCTCTTTCTCTCTTTAAAAACTTAATTAAAGACATTTTTATTTACAATAAATATATTTTTTTACACTTTAAAGATATATTATTTTTATTAAAAAAATTTTTAATTTTTTATAACAAATTATTTTCTGTGGAAAAAAACATTATTTTTACATAACACCTCTTCATTTTATTTCATATTTTAATGACATATAACACATTTTTATTTACTCTTACATATATACAGAACATTTATAATAATCTATATAAAAGAAAAGAGAAAAAACTATATTGCAAGGTTATATAATACTATAATGATACACTCTATCGTTTACAATTATACTTGTATAAAATAATGGGCAATAAGCAGATTTAATAAGATATAATTACATCTAATAGGAAATAATCACGTTTAAGCACCTCGCATTTTCTTTCATATAATAATAAAAAAGAAGTTCAAAAAGTTGTAAACATAATTTGCAAAGGAAGATATGCGGAAAAATTCAGAAATCAAAAGATATTTGTTTGCCAATATTCTTATTAAATATTTTTGAAAAACATATTGATGATTTTAATAGATCGTAATAGAATTTTTTTAGTATATAATCAATCTTCAGAGTTACATCAGAGTATACATTGGTATTATTTTTAATAAGTTATATTAATTATGACAAAGCAAGTAGGTATTATATAACTCATTTAATGCTGCAATTAATAATACAGAAGAATGATAACCAGCTTCAGAGAACGAATCGGCGCAATTGCAAATTATGTTGCGAGCGGAATATGCGGTTATTTTAATATAAATAACGCAATATTATCTTTGGTTTTAATATTTTTTGAGATAATAATAAAATTTATAGATAACTATCATACAATTTAGTAAAATAAAACAGAACATCTCGTATGAGTGGCATGAATAAACGTCAATGTAGAAATTTGACAAAGAAATAAATTTTTATTAATACGCGTTCATAAATTCTTCCCCTTTAAAAAATTTAATTAAAAAATAATTTAGCATAGTATAACATTTGTTAAAAAAGCGAACGCATTATGCTCCATGAAAATGTCTAGGTCATTAATGAAAAACGTACAGATTTCTCTTAACATGTTTCAATAACGACGTAATTAAGCAAAAATTCAAAGTACATATAGCATCCACTTTATCGTACTGCTTTTGTCGTAAAATATCAAATTTTATTAACGCGATTCCTCCCATATTTACATTAGTTCGGTAAATCTTTATTTGTTGATACAGACAATATTAATTATGCTTTGATACTTGGAACGTTATGAAACTGTCTTATAAAAGAGATTTCTAATCTTGTAAACATAATTAAATTTATTCGCGAATTAAATTTTTCCGATTTATTATTTATCCACTCCCATCTTTTATTAAAAAAATGTTTGCGATATTAAGGATGTATGTGTCATATGTCGAAACATTGACAAAAGCATGAAAATTTCGTAGGCTGTTCTATTATTTCTTCTGAATATCTGTGCAAAACCTGAGCACAATTCTCTTAATGGTTTGGAAATTATTTAAATTTAAAGTTACTATTGATTCTTATGAAAAATCGCGTTATTGTAGCACTTATTGACAAATTTGACAAGGAAAAAACATTGCCAGCAAAACAAAAATTTTCACATATATTAAGAAAACTCTAATAAATATTTGTGCAAAACTTGATTTAGATCCACTTGCTCGTTTAAAAGTTATTTACTAAAAATTGTAGAAAGATATTATCTATCTCTCTTTCTCTTTCTGCAAATTACTTTTTTTTTTTTGTTTCTTGCAGTTGATTTTAGGAAGTATTCATGATCAAAAGTTTTTGTCATAAATTAAGAAAAATATTAATTACAACTATTTTTTTTTACGAAGACGTCAAAAACCATATTATTTTGTGATGCTTTAATTATTTTGTGATGCTTTAATTCTTTTTTTAATGCGGATTTATTCATTTGATTTTTCAAACAGTATAAACGTAAGAAATATCTTTTTTTTGTTAATTTTGACAGTTTTTTGCTATTATTGTACAGCCAAAACATCCTTAATTAGCTCTTTTATGTTTAGAATGCATATGAAATTAACGAAATTTTTAAACATACAGGATGTTTTTATTATGTAACCATGACATTTAATTCAATGAATTATTGATCTCTGCTTCTGGACGTCACTTAGCGTTAGTAAAATTATTTATTATAAAATTATACATTACTCACCGGTGTTTACATTCCATCAACCTATTATTGTGTGTGTATATGTGATTGATTGAACTATCTAAGTGTAATAAAATCAAGGAAAAGATTAAAAAACAATTTATATATCAGAAACAAAAAAAAAATATGATCCAAAACAGACTATTTAATGACTCCGTAATATTAATATTTCGAATATTTAAACATTATCTGTTATTATTACGTCCCCTTATTTAAATCCCCAAGAGATTTGAATAGCCAGAATTGAAAGCTTCCAGGCTTGGATAGAGCTCGAGTAGCTTGAGCTCATTAAGCTTGTACTCACTATTATAAGCTTCTGAGGTAAGATCGATCTCTATATCGCGAATAATAATTTGCTATAAAAGGAGATAGGTAATAATACTGACGCATACATTTGTTACAACGGTGTAAAACAAATAGTCAAACAATAATAATTCCATCTGATTGGAGGAAATTATACAAACGTTTACGTTTGTATTGTTGCAGTCGCGGTAGTGATAGCATTCTTCATTTGTTGGGCCCCGTTTCATGTACAACGATTAATCGCCATATATGGGACTAATACGGAGGATCATATCACATCGAACGGCCCGTGGATGGAGTTCCTCAACCTCTTAATGACCTATATATCGGGCGTTTTCTATTATGTATCCACGACGATCAACCCGATCCTTTACAACATTATGTCGAACAAATTCCGCAAAGCGTTTATGGTAAGAAATCTAAATTGAAATAAACTAGATGCTATCTGAAAATTATTTTACTTGATAACTTAATTTTTTTTATCAAAGTTATAAAACATTTATTACAAGAAATTGAAATTAGTAATATAACAACAATGCATACACATTTAAAATTTAAATAAAAATAAAAATACTTTTTGCAACATTGTAGATAAAATGATACAATAATTTAAAAAAATATCTCAAATTTATATTTTTATAATAAACAAGCTTCTTAAATTGTTATTGCTTCAATATATATATAAATTTTATCTGTTTTTACACAATATATCTTACTTGTCATAAATATCGTTCAAACCGTTCCAGGAGACGCTATCGAAAAGTTGCAGACTTGCTGGATTGCCAGCACGTCACGAGCAACGTTCATATTCAAGCCTGTCGCGATCTCAACAAAGAACCATTGGTGCTTATGGTTCCAGGACAGCGGGAACCGGTGGAGCATCGAGAGGAGGATCTGGAAGAGCATCCGGTGGAGGATCTGAAGGAGGATCCGGTGAAGGATCTGGTATAATAGCGGACAGCATGGAAGGTTCAGGAAATTCTGTGGAAGACAGTCAAAAGCAATCGATGAATAATCCAGAAAAATTGCCGGAGTCTACCAGAATGAATTCAGTGCGGAAGGAACATGCTAAAGAGACGAGGAACAATAACAATTTGCGGCCGCTCTATAATGAGCATCACAAGTCGCAGGAAAGCAAACGTAGCAAGAATCGATCGATTCGCAAGAACCAGGACGCATCGTGGACGAAGAGAACAATATACAAGAGCGTACACGTGTCCAATATAGGAGGTTCAGGAAAAAAATGGTCGAGATTTCTAAAGTGGCTGCCTGGCTTTAAAGTTTTCAAATTTTCTCGTGGATCAACCGTGCCCGAGGATTGCGTATTCGACGAAACCGGGAATCCTCGCGAGGAACTGCCAATGACAATGTGGAATATCCGCGATAACAACGAACAACGACCTGTCTGAATGTTTTTGTAAGATTCAAAATCTTTGAGAAGACTGATATTTTTGATCTGCATTTTCCGTGGATGATGCAACATCATTAACAATCGTTACTTGATGAAAGATAATGTGACATAGTACGATAGTACGACCAAAATTATGACTTGAAAGTTCTCCCAAGATTGTGATTTTGAGAACTTTCTTTACTAATGTAAAAGACTGAAACAAGAATAATGTTTGTAGCTCCGATTCTCATGATTAATTTAAAAAAGTTTTAATGAGGATTCAATGAGCGTAGAGGATAAGAAAATTTTCAGAAGAAAAGCCATAAAATTTGACACGGTGATATACCATCCACATTTGCCACGAGAGTTTTATCGCTCAATGTTGGCGTCCGACGTACTGCATCTACAAATAAATTTAGAGCATCAAAATGATAAAAATGTCAAAAATATTGCGGTCTTATATCGTAGTGACATGGTAATAAATCAAATTGCACACTACGATCTCTCCAACTCAGAAATCTTTCCGGAATGCGCTCTTGTCAAGTATGCATTCATTGATCACCAAACATTTTCTTTTATATTACTTCAATCTATTAGAGCACGAATGATATATATGTACATACTATAGGATGATATAAACATATTATATATCATCCTGTTTTTTTATTTTGTTTTTGAATTCTCGTATTTTCGATATCAGAGTGTTTTTAATGGATAACTGAAATATTGAACATAAAAATATTTAATTTAAACAAAAAGCTCTATAAAAAATATATATATATATATATCTATATAAAGCTATTTCTGTTGATTTCTGATCATCAGAATATACTGTATATCGAATCCATTGCAAATCGAAATCTTTAAAAACGGTTGCACACTGAAAAAAAAAATTGTTAACTTGACTAAAACCTATCAAACCCTTCAACTAATTACCATTTTTTAAATTGAAATATTTATATATTTGAGTCAAATATACGTCATGTTAGATTTAATATGTCTTATTTGACTTAAATATATAAATATTTCAATTAAAATGATAAAAATGTCAAAAATATTGCGGTCTTATATCGTAGTGACATGGTAATAAATCAAATTGCACACTACGATCTCTCCAACTCAGAAATCTTTCCGGAATGCGCTCTTGTCAAGTATGCATTCATTGATCACCAAACATTTTCTTTTATATTACTTCAATCTATTAGAGCACGAATGATATATATGTACATACTATAGGATGATATAAACATATTATATATCATCCTGTTTTTTTATTTTGTTTTTGAATTCTCGTATTTTCGATATCAGAGTGTTTTTAATGGATAACTGAAATATTGAACATAAAAATATTTAATTTAAACAAAAAGCTCTATAAAAAATATCAAACTGAATTAATAAAATGTTATTTAATCTTTTCGTCGTTTATTCTCTGCTTCTGAAACAAAGAGTGACAAAGTGCCAAATATTTTGCTAAATACGCAAATATAATAAATAATTATCATCAAACATGGACGCATCATATTATACATAGCAATCAATCATTAATGTGATTACCTTAAATATATAAATATTTCAATTAAAAAAATAGTAATTAGTTGAACGGATTTAGTCAAATCAACAATTTTTTTTTTTCAGTGCATTGACAACTTTATGTAATTGTATAGAATGTAATCTTGTAACGTATAATTTGGTGTAAGATATTGTGGCTCTCTTTATGTCGATTGAATTTTGAAAATGTGATATTTGTTATGTCAATGATATAAGTGTAAATAATTAACTGTAATAAATTCTCTATCGTCTTTTTTATTAATTTTAATCGCATGTCCTTTATTTAAACTTGTTAATAACTGCATGTACACTTCAAGTATCGATATTTTTAATAATTACACACACAGGTAGACATCTATGTCATAAAATTTCTGCTTTTTCATTCTCTTTTCTCCTATTAAATTAGCTGTGAATCCTGCTCGGTAAAAATAATTTTACTGCGTTCCTATATTTTGCACATCATAACACAGCTATCTATAATTTCATAAATAACGCAACCGTATTTAGGATCATACCTATTTTCGTATTCGTATCCCTGAAAATTATTTCGGGAGTTCGCTACTAAGATATAATTATCTTTAATATTTTGACAGATGCGCAGATATATATTTGAGTTGACAGGAAATAATTTTTTGAAACCGCATATAAACGATAGAAAATATATTCCACGATATAATTCCTCTATTATCTTTGCAATATTTTAAAAATATACAACGCGCACGTTTTGCTACATTGAATGATTAAGTGGTGAAAACGAACTGATTAATAGAAATATATGAACAAAATATCCGTAATAACAAGCATTAAATTTATTCTCTGCAATGCTTTTTCTCTATAAAGCTAATAGTAGCATTTTTTTAATTTTCCACGCGCACTCGTGTGGATTTCTGTAACATGTAACGAAAAAAAATTAATAAATAAATAAAAAATAACATTTTTTACTTTAAAAAATAAAATAGAGTAAGCACTATGTTTGATAAAAACAAACTGACAGATATATATTTTATTATCTGCTCATAACATGAAGCCAGATATATGTCTAATAAAATGTCTAGAATATAGTAATATAATATCGTGCTTGTAAAGAAAATAAATATAAAGTAATTCACATGAATGGAAAATCTATTCTATAGAGTGTATCTCTCTATTATTCCTGTGGAATATTAAAAAAATACAAAATACATACTTCTGCACAGAAAATAACAAATACAAATTGACTAATACAACCATGTAGATAAAATCTTTATATAGACATTAAGTTTATTGTCCGTATAATGCTCTACCTCTGATTGCACTTTTCAAAGTTCACGTTCGAATTTCTACCATACAGAACAAAAAAAAAGTTTCTTCTAAAAAATTTTTTTTTTTTAGAGGAAATAAGAAGAGAATGCACCATATATGTATATATGCCTGTTAATAATAAAAAATACAGATAGAACTATATATATTTAATTATTTACTCATAACATAAAGCTAAATTTATGTATAAAAATATATAATATATGACAATATATAATCGTGCCTATACAGAAAATAAATACAAAGTAAGTGTATATAGATTGTACATTTTTTCGAGTATTTAAATGCGACGGGAAGAAATAATTATACATTTATCTGTGCATAATAATATCATAGAAAATAATATACAAAATACCTATGTTTAAAATTCAAAAGAGAGAGCTTACCAGATATATGTATATATATGACAGAGATCATATATGATGAATTGAAAAAAGTGTATAATAAACACCAACAATATCTGATAATAACAATAATACTGAAAATATACGCCATAATTACTATTAATAATAGTAATAAATACTATTAGTAGTAATAAATATAATTAATTTGTATTGATAATGCATATTAATTTTCGATAACGCAAATACATATGTTGTACACATTTATTCAAAAATTAATATAATTCTGCATGGAAAGATTAAATCGGATTTAATAGCGAAAATGTATTCAAAGTGCGATTTAATAACGGAGAGAGAAAGAAAGTTTACACAAAATGACATCAATATTACGATCATTTGCACATAGCAGATCAGATACGATAAATTTTCGTATCGCGTTTTGGTTTGATGTACACGATTAAGTACGATCTCTTTTTCGCGCATCATTGATTGTAATTGATTATTCGTGCCCGCACATAAGCGGTGTATTAAACGCATAAATATTTAAATAATGTATTGCGACATATTTATGTATATCCAACATGAATTACATACATACATAATATTCCCTATACATAAATCTAAAACATTAAATAATAACCATCATATACATCGATATGATAATAAGCGTAGGGCATGAGTAAACTTACAGATACAGGAATGTGTATCACACGAGAGATGCGGAAACGATTATTGTTCTGTGACAGTCTGCTTCACCATAAACACATTTACGGCATACTTTCGAGACAACCTTTAATGTGCTGCCAAGCTTGGAGACCCTGTATCAATAAAAAAGATAATGTAATCGTTCCAAATTCAAGTGCGCCGAGTGAAATAAGTGTAAAGAATATTATTGAATTTAATATCAACCTTCCTAACTAGTTTAAATTGCAAGACGCAGTAAGCTGCCAAAGTCTCTTTCAGATCGACGACTTTTTGGTGTTGAAATCTCTCGATATCCATCATTGCTTTAATAGAGAAAGACCTGTGGAGGGATCAATGATTTACTAAAAATTACACGTTTACGAATGAATTTCGAACAGGATAATCATCAGGACTCTGTCTCTTACTTTAAATCTTCGTCCACTTGTTTTACAGCTTCATCGTGCTGCGCGATTCGCTGTTCCAACTGAAGAATCTTCAGCTCGCGAACTTCCTCCGTGTCCACGGAGCCGAATAAGCGTGACATCAGACCGGCTTTACCTGGAAAATTCATTATTTTCGTACAAAAAATAAAATAATAAAATTCTAATGTTATTTCGAACACACAAGCATTTTCCAATACCTTGCATAACTTTTTCCTTCTGTTCGAACGCGGCGGTCAAGGCATCGTGTGCTTCGTCCTTCGCAAGTTGCAGGGCTTCCCTGCGTCTAACCACAGCCTGCAATGCCGAAGCACCAAACAGCCATTCCTTCAACTGATCGGCTATGAGCTCTTCCTCCTCGAGAGTGGTATCTATCGTTGCCGCTAATGAGTCCAAGTAGTGTCCCGATTTCTAAGAAAACAGGCTGTAATGCGGTGTTTTGCAATTTTTATACTTATACAGGTTTTTTTTCTTTCCTATTCTTTTCTTTTCTTTTATTTATTATCGTACTGTTATAGTTGCAACGTTAATAAGTAAAATCAAGATTTCTTCGTTTATCAACACAGCTACAATGTTCTATAATGCAACAAATAATACCTGCAATCCATCGCCCATTTCTCTCTCTATCGCACTCCATTCGCTGAAGACGCGTCCGTAATTTGCGTGCAACTTGTATAGACTATGTTGTTTCTCCACGAGGCGTGCACGCACTCGCAGAAGATTGCACAAATTATTCTGCAAGATAGTACAACGTTATGTTATAAAATAATAATATTTAATTTTAATAAAATAATAATGTTGACACGCGACGCGAAAGACGCGAAAGCCGTCCGCGGCACGATGACGGCACCGACGACGCGACAAAGCCGTCCGCGGCACCATGACAGCACTAACGATACTTATGCAACATTAATTGATTAAAATAATCATACAAGAAATTACATGTGTACTATCTTTTAATTTTTTAAAAATTGTTACTATTTGCTATCGCATTTGTTTGATGTCCCCTTTTCGGTATAATAAAGCACGATTAAAGAAATATCTGGCAAATAAAAACCAACCGCGAAAATGCGAATATTTTTCAAGAAAACTAATTATAATTTCTTGGTAAATTATATCCACTTGGCACATTTTTTCTTTGTTAATCGGTACCAATAAATATAAAATCTCAATTTGAGAGACTGTAACTCCTTAAACTTTCCCAAAAAATCGTAAGCTAGAAAAATATCGATACATAACGGCTAAATCGGAAATTTGATTCGATTCTCAATACTTGATTATTAAGGTGTTCCATAATAATTCCAGAATTATAAAAGATTATATTTGAACATTAATATGAGAGAGAGAGAGAGAGGAAAAGAGAGAAAAATAAAAAAAATTACAAACGCAAAGATCAAACACAAATTAAGTGCAAATACAATCAATTAATATTTTCACAGATCTATTCTGTATCAAG